CATGTCCCTGTGACGTGTAGTTATGTGGATCCTGCAGAGTGGCCTCTGGGATCCTGTCAGCTCGGCGGCAGTTAGGTAAGGGGCTTATCCTCCAGCCAGGACTCTGAGTCAGATTGTTCACTTGCATGAGCGGAAACACCTGTGCACATACAAGACTGACCCGACCATCCTCTAATTTCTCCTTTTGTTTTGGACTCCTGGTCTTGGCTTATGAGAGTCACTTTTCCACCCAAGCAGTACACAGCCCGTCCCCAGGCTTCTGCTCGCCATGGTCCTTCCTGGAGTGTCTCCTCCCACCCGCCAATGTGAGGACCCTTCCTCTGAGCCCAGTCTGATCCCATCTGTGCTACATCCCTACCTCGGTCCCTTGGGCTCTCTGCACAGGCAGCAGCCGTGCAGCTGGCTTTTTCCTGCCTGATTCTAAATGCCCCACCCTTTCTGTGACTGCACATTAGTCGGTTCCAGAGATTGAGTCAGCGTTTCACGCGTGTGTGATGCATCTGGTGCGCACGGCCTGGTGGCGTCTCCCTTTGTTGTGTGTCATCTGTCTCCTTTCTCAGCACAGCACCGCAGCTTGTCCTGCATTGAAGGGCAGTGGTCAGTGACGGGCATGCAGTGTGTCTGCCCTGACTCCTTGGCCCTTCTTCAGTGCTCAGAGGGAGTGAGGGGCACAGGACTGTCTTAGGCACACCACAGCCGTGCCTCAGCTTTGAACAGACATACCAGTGCCCCTAGATGGAACCAGGAGGGGGTGGGGTGCGAGCAGATGAGCTGATCACCCCCTCCTGCCACGGCCCCTCGGAAGACGGAGCAGCTCAGGTGTGTCCCCCCGTGTCACTGCAGGCCCCAGAGCTGCTGGAGCAGCAGAAGTACACGGTGACTGTCGACTACTGGAGTTTCGGCACCCTGGCCTTTGAGTGCATCACTGGCTTCCGCCCCTTCCTCCCCAACTGGCAGCCTGTGCAGTGGTGAGCAGAGCAGGGTGGGTGGGCAGGTGGGGGGCGCCTTGGAGGAAGGAGACAGCCAGTGTCTGTTCCTCTCCTCACCTGCTTTAGTGATGTTCCCACGCTGGGCCTGTGGTGGCTCATACTTGTAATCCCAGCACTCTGGGAGGCTGAGAAGGGTGGATCAATTGAGCTTCGGAGTTGGAGCAAGACCCCATCTCTACCAAAAATAGAGAAACTAGCTGGGTGTGGTGGCGGGTGCCTATAGTCCCAGCTACTTGGGAAGCTGAGGCAAGAAAATTGCTTGAACCCAAGAGTTTGATGTTGCAGTGAGCTGTGACGCCACAGAACTCTACTGAGGGTGACAAAGTGAGACTCTGTCTCAAAAAAAGAAAAACAAAAGCATAAGGTAGGAGTTTAAAGTATGAACCTAATAAATTACAAAAAATATTTTTAATCAAAGTATAAAGTTAGGGTTTTCAAGATTACTCAGCATTCTTTAACTTTTTTTTTTTTTTTTTTGCTGATTATACAAATAGCACGTGGACCATGGTGTATTTATATAGGAGTTATCACCACCACAGAGCGTGGCAGGTGCACGTGGTCATCAGCTGCCTTAGCCCTTCCATTCCATGATGCACACATTTCAAGCGCTGTGTTGTACATGATGAAATATTACAATTTTTATTTATCAGGTAAAAGAAATGAAGTATTGGGGGGAAGGTGCCAAAATGTGTAGTTTAAAAATTAGCATTCTCTAAATGAGTTAGGTCTCATTCAACATTGCTCTTTGAGAAGCCACGTGTTAATTTTGTTTTAGAAAATATGGAAACGGTAAAGAGCCAGGACTCGACCGTGATCACACAGCCGGGAACACATTTGTGTTTCTCCCGGCTCTTCCCCACGTGTGTGTTTTATTTATACTTTAAAATTAGTTGCTGTGTGTAGTCTCGTGTGACTTCACCACTCAGACTTCATATTGAAAATGAATTGTTTCCCCATATTGTTTGTAATATTTGTTGTTCCAGAGAGTGACTATGCTATAGTTCATTTAATAACACCACGAATATCATCCTTGTTGGGAAATCCTTAATACATCCAGGTATTTCCTGAGGGTGAATTCCTAGAAATGGGATTAACACATCAAAAGTGTGCAGAGTTTTTGTTTTGTTTTGGGGGCATTTTGTTTTGTTTTGTTTTTGAGATAGGCTATCATTCTGTTTCCCAGCCTACAATGCAGTGGTATCCTTACAGCTCACTGCAACTTCAAAACTCCTGGGCTCAAGCAAGCCTACTGCCTCAGTTTCCCAAGTAGCTGCAACTGCCGGTGTGTGTCACTAAGCCTGGCTAATTTTTACATTTTTTGTAGAGACGGCATCTCATTCTTGCTCAGGCTGGTCTTGAACTCCTGGCCTTAAGCGATCATCCCACCTGGGTCTCCCAGAGTGCTGGGATTCCAAGTGCCTCGCCAAGTGTGCACGTTTTAAAGGTTTCTGGTACATGTTCGCAGCTGCCACCAGAAGGCTGCCCAAGTTCGTTCCGGAATGTGGCGTGCTGCCATCTCCCCATACCATTGCCAACACTGCTGTCATCCTCAATGCCTTTCTGGAAGTAAGACAGCTATTTTCACCACAATATTTATTCATAAGAATGAAGTGCCCCCTTTGGAATAGATTCCAGAAGAGTACGCTCCAGTTCCACACGTGTGCCCAGTGGTGGAACTGAGAGGCGAGGCGTCTGCTGCAGGATCTGGTCATCCTCAGTCTGGTGACTCAATTCCCAACAGGAATCAGCTCCGTAATTTATAGTCACACTTCATGATAGAACCATCATAAAAATAGCTTTAAAGTGTCTGTGCGTTGCTGGTGATGTTCTGACTAAGAAGTTGCTGCATTTCTTTACTTTGCCCTTTGAACTTTCCCATTATTTGTAACAAGGTGAGTTAAAACCCATTAGAACTGGAGGGACAAGTGCTTTCTGAACAGAGCCCCTGAGGGCCTGGTCAGCCCTGGGAGGCTGGCGGCCGCTTCCAAGTAGACAGGTCTGCAACCCGAGAAGAAGCTGCTCTGTGGCCTGACCTTTAGCTTGTCTGCTTTTTAGCACTTTGGATAGCCCCTTGAAAATCTCCCTGTCTCATCTCAGATGGCAGGTCAACAGGTAGTGATTTCAGGAAAAATGCGATTTGGGCTTGGAAATACACTTTAACGACAGCCTAATAATAAGCATTTTATTTGTGTGTGCTTTTGTATTTTCCATGGACAGACTCAGTTTCCTGGTAGAGGACTGTCCCACACTGATGTAATTAGAACGTCTTGGGACACCCCCACACCAGCCCGTCTAGGTTTTCTACGTGTTCTGGACAGGCCAGTTCACTGCTTGCCAGTGAGAGTTGTTTGGAGCTGAAGCATTTTTATTTTTTAGTTGAACTTCCCAGGGGTTTTGGGAAAGGAGGGATTTGGACATTCAGATGGAGTAGAAAAAATAGCAGACTTGGAGTTGGGCGGACTCTGACACCTTCAGTTGTGTGGCCTTGGTCACATCATCCGATCTTCATTTTCTTACCACTAACTAGGGCCTAAAAATGTCAACTGCACAGGTCCATCGTGGTGATAAGTGAATGCCATGTCGGTGCCCTTAGTTATCTAGGAAGCATTACTCAAGGTATTATCACTGTTACCAAGAACGTTGAAGCCACTTGGGTTTAAATATTTTTTCCTTCAAATACTACTTCAGATGCCCCAATATTCCCTAACAGGTAGGGAATTGCAAAAGCTATCCCTAAAAATAGCTCTTAGCCGTGTACACTGAGTGAAGCACCCAGGTCCATGCATGACGCACGTTTCATGTCAGGGTCATGGACGTGCAGTAGTCTTGGTCTGTAAGTCCTGATTTTATCCTCTCCTCTATTAAAGTATAAGAGTTTATATCAGATAAAATGAAAAGGGAGAGAAACAGAAAGGGGAAAGGCAGGAATGAGGTGAGGAGGCGAGAGGAGGCCAGAGTACTGCCTGCAGGACGCTGGGCACCAGGCGGCCAGGGGCTGCGTCCAGGCTGCTCTTCACAAGGTCCTTCAGGCTGAGCTGGCCAGTCTTAAACTCTCCGAGAAATGGTTCTGTCACAGTGCAAATGAACTGACCTGTATTCCAAAAGCTTAGGGATGTAGGTCTGCTGTGCAGATGCAAAGTGCCATTACAGTTGTACAGTGGCTCTAGAGGTGAGGGGTACGTGATGGCACAGCATCGACATTCTAAGTTGAGATGCGTAGACCCTCAGCATCATGGCACAGGTGGCTTCAGCATCCAGGACAGTCACGGGCTGCACAGTTGTGTGTCCTGGGAGGAAGGGGCCACACCACACAGCCCAGGTATGTTGACAGCCGCACCGTCTGGGTTTGTGGACATGCACACACTGTGATGTTCTCACAACGACAAAGTCACCCACGGTTCTCAGAACGTGTCCCCACAGTCAGTGAAGCACAACAGCGTGTAACCGGGTTGCTTATGTGCAGGCACTCGAAGGTCCGGCAGAAGAGTGAGATGGACATTGTCGTCAGTGAAGACTTGAACGGAGCGGTGAAGTTTTCAAGCTCCCTGCCCTACCCCAACAACCTTAACAGGTAGGCGCAGCCGCTTCCCTCTCCTGCACCATTCTCCATTTTTAAGAAATCAGTCTCAGGTGGTACCTGGTAACTTTTAAATAGATTATCAGGACATTGTCCTGCAGCTAAGGACTTGGAGAGTCCTTCTCAGTCTGAAAATCAGAGTGGATTCCCATGCTCACCTTGTCCTGGATTCCCGCCACCTCTCCTCTCAGCTCACATCACAGTTTGTACCTCTGTTCCCCTCAGTAGCCTCCTCCCTGTACTGTGTCTGGTTCTGCAGAGGCTCTGTCTCCTATCCGTGGTAAGCCTTTGAAGGGTCAGGAACTCTGCTCCATTTCCCTTTGCTCTCCTCTCGCACTTACTACTGTGTCGTTGTCAACTGGTGAGTCTTGGAGTTGGAATGGCACTACAGCTAGTCTCAGAGCCAGACCACTGGTGGCATCAGAAGTGGGTGACAGCACAAAAGCAGGCTCCAGGGCAGTGTCGTGTAACCCAGTCACACAGACAGAGATTCAGACAGTCACCCATTCAGAGAGTGGGGAGGAAAGATTGTGTGGACTAGAGCGATATGGAGTGACCTGAGATGAGCTTGAAATTTGTGCAAGTATCTGGAAAGGTGTGTAGGAAGGACGTGGACAGGTGAAGGAGGGGGAGAGACTGGGGCAAGCAGGGTGGGAGGCAGCAGGCAGCTGTTTTGGCCTCCTGAGGACCTGAGTGAGCACAGAGGGGCCGGGGGGTGGCTTTGGTGGCTTTGGTGGCTTTGTCGTGTGACCCAGCAACTGCTTTGGTGGGACTAACCCATCTGGCAGCATGGGGTCTGCCCCATGTTATTCATGCCCCTTTAACTCCATGGGGTCCAGGTCATGTGTGGGGGCCACCTGGAGGTGGGACTCACCTTCACAGGTCAGTCTTATCCACCTCATTGGAAATGTGTCTGCTGCCCAGCACGTGGGGAAATGTGACTGGGAGGCTGTTACAGCAGGTCAGGGGAGAGGGGACAAGCACTGGGAGAACTGAAGTGGCTGGAGATGTTTATGCTTTTATTCTCTGGTAAGCCATTTTCATTTTTAGTAATTGTTTGCTGGCCACTGTCTGTGTGCAGTGGCGAGATGCACATGGAGGTAGCCAAGGTCAGCCACAGGTGACCCCTCCTGCACTCTGCTCCTCTCCGCAGTGTCCTGGCACAGCGGCTGGAGAAGTGGCTGCAGCTGATGCTGATGTGGCAACCCCGACAGCGGGGCACAGACCCCACGTACGGGCCCAACGGCTGCTTCAAGGCCCTGGATGACATCTTAAACCTGAAGGTGAGTGGGAGCCACGTTAGCCCCTAGGCAACAGTGAGGCTCTCCTGAGAAAGCAGAGCAGGTCCAGGGCAGCCGCCCTAGTGAGGAATTTGAGGCTCCTGGGGGGTCTTTCTGCAGAAGGACAGTCATGGCTGTGGACAAACAGGAATGTGAAAGACAAGAATATCCGAAATGTGGCACCCAGGCCCCCTTCCTCCAGGGAGACCCTTACTGTGTGTGGCTGGGAATGGCAGGAGAAGCAGAGGATCTAGGCAGATAGACGGGCGTCTCTTTAAAGAGGCTGTTTTTTGGGCAGCACCTGTGGCTCAAAAGGGTAGGGCGCTGGACCCGTATGCCAGAGGTGGTGGGTTCAAATTCAGCCTCGGCCAAAAAAAAAAAGAGGCTGTTTTTTCTGAGCAGCACCTGTGTTACGTTGCAGTTGGTTCACATCTTGAACATGGTCACGGGCACCATTCACACCTACCCAGTGACAGAAGATGAAAGTCTGCAGAGCTTAAAGGCCAGAATCGAGCAGGACACGGGGATCCCAGAGAAGGACCAGGAGCTGCTGCAGGAAGCGGGTCTGGCGCTGATCCCAGACAAGCCGGCCACACAGTGCATTTCAGACAGCAAGGTGAGCCCTGTGCCCTGCCTGCGCCCCCTGGAAACCAGTCACCCCTGCAGGTTTCACCTCTGTTACGAGCGTTGGATCCATAAAATTCATTCGGTTTTGTCCTTTTGCAGTTAAATGAGGGCCGCACACTGGACATGGATCTTGTTTTTCTCTTCGACAACAGTAAAATCACCTATGAGACTCAGATCTCCCCACGGCCCCAGCCTGAAAGCGTCAGCTGTATCCGTGAGAACATTTTTTTAGAAAGTCCATCGTGATACTTGTGACACGGCAGGAGGGGGAAACGTAGGCCAGGGAGGAGCTCACCAAGGCTTGGCCCACCTGGTCCTCAGAGCAGCCTCCTGTCCACAAGAAATTCAGGGCATAGCCCAGGGAAAAAGGGCAGAGGGAACCGTGGGTTCATTTCCGTCTCATAAATACAACTTTAGACAGAGGACAGAGAATACTGCCCACAAGAGATTTATGTACATATACATATATGTGTGTGTGTGTGTGTGTGTGTTTTGGGTTTTTGGGGGGTTTTTTTTGAGAGAAGGTCTCACTCTGCTGCCCAGGCTGGAGTGCAGTGGGGTCATCATAGCTCACAGCAACCTCAAATTCCTGGGTTCAAGCAGTTCTCCTGCTTCAGCCTCCCCAATAGCTGAGACTATAGGTGTTTACTACACCTAATTTAAAATTTTTTTTTGCAGAATTCGAGTCTCACTATATTGCCCGCTCTGGTCTCAAACTCCTGGCCTCAAGGGATCCTCCTGCTCTGAGCTCCCAGAGTGCTGGGATTACAGACCTGAACCACCATACATGGCCTCATTTATATGTTTTTGTTTGTTTGTTTTATACTGAACCCATTCTTCTGCAGAATTTATTTATATTTTAACAATGCATGTACGTGATAACCAAAAAAGAAAAAATTAAAAGATAGGAAAAATTGAATACACAGTAACCAGCAAGCCACTGTCTCCCCAGTTCCCTAGCCGGTGAGTTTCCCTTCTAGGGAAAACACAGATACCGTATTTTCGGGTCCTTCCAGGGCTGTTTTTCCCCCCAGCAAACAGTGGCATTCAGTATGTACTGTCCGCACCTGCCTTCCTCACTTAACAGTGTGTTCTGGAGAATTTTCTCCTCACTCTGCTACCTCACTCTTCGTGGCTGATATTCCACTCTGTGGTGGACAGTCCAGCATTTGTGGGACGTTTTAATGCGTCTCCTGCTTCTACCTGCTGCCCCTCCCCCCACGCACATCCACACTGAAGAGTGAACAGACGGAAGGGCCAGGGTCTCGGAGATCTCCAGGGTTTTTTGTTGATTTAATCATCTCCAGTACTGTTGTTTGAGTCTGATTTTTTTTTTTTTTTTGAGACAAGAGACTCACTATGTCATCCTTGGTAGAGTACAGTGGTGTCACAGCTCACAGCAACCTGAAACTCTTGGGTTCAAGTGATGCTTTTGCCTCAGCCTCCCAAGTTGCTGGGACTACAGGTACCCGCCACAACACCCGGCTACTTGAGTCTGATTTTTTTTTTTTTTTCAGTTTTCTTTTTTTCCTTATTGGCCGGGGCTGGGTTTGAACCCGCCACCCTCGGCATATGGGGGCATTGCCTTACTCCTTGAGCCACAGGCACCGCCCTGAGTCTGATTTTTTTATAAAACTTTATACAGCTTTATATGTTGTGAACATAAGAGTTTTTAACTATATGGGCCAGAGTACATGTGAATATGTCTCCAAATAATTGATGAAGTATTTCTGCAAATCAAAATCAGTAGCTGTTTACTGCCCAGCTGGTACTACTTATGCAATAATGGGGTATAAAAATAAATATGACAGTAACCAGGCATATTATCCCCAAAAGTTACATAACAGTATCCTAGTTATATAATATTTTAAAATGTGAGTGTGGCACCACTAGGGAGGATGTGACTAATGGCAGCACAGTTACTCTCTGATATTGCTTGTGTTTCTGTTTCCAGTTCAAGAGCCCAAGAGGAATCTCCCTTTCTTCCAGCTGAGGAAGGTGTGGGGCCAGGTCTGGCACAGCGTCCAGGCCCTGAAGGAGGACTGCAACCGGCTGCAGCAGGGACAGCGTGCGGCCATGTACCTGCCAGGCATTCCTGACTTAATGCGTTTAAAATTACCTGGTGGCTTTGGCCACAGGGGAGTGGCAGAGGCAGGGACCCAGAAGCAACTGTTATGGGAGACAAAAGGGAGACGCTGGTTTGGACGGGTGGGAAAAGTGTGGGTGGGCTGGACTGAGGCAGAGGCGGGCAGGCTGAGGCCGGGCTGGCCAAGCTGCGGGCGGAACTGGGAGCCTGGAGGAGCCAGGTACAATTTAAGTTAGCAAAGCTGCCCCGATTGTTATCCTGGGCACTTAAAATCGTCCCCCCTTGTGCCCAGTTTAGCTTCTTGGCCCTGCATGTGGCATAGTACCTTGCCCCATTTCAGTTCTGGTGCAGAACCTCAGGCATTGCTGAGGCTTGGGAACTCTCCATTGGTTTTAATTGGCTGCTGCTACCATAATCATCATCATGGCAGGGACCTCCTTTGCAGTTTGAGGGGGTTTGTTGTATAGGAAATGGTATTTGGGTCCCCAAGATGCTCCAAGGCTCTGTGTGCTGTGGTCCCTGCAGGATGAATCTGCTCCGGAACAACAGCTGCCTGTCCAAGATGAAGAACTCCATGGCCTCCATGTCGCAGCAGCTCAAGGCCAAGCTGGATTTCTTTAAAACCAGCATCCAGATTGACCTGGAGAAGTACAGTGAGCAGACTGAGTTTGGGATCAGTGAGTATACTCTTTGCAGCGAGCTTAAAGATGTGGTTTTCTTCTTTTGGCCTCGTATAGTTGAGTTGCTTATTTCTGCTTTGGTTTTGTGGTGTGTTGTTTTGTTTTTCAATTTTTCCCCTATTTTTTTTTTTCAGCCTCAGATAAACTGCTGCTGGCCTGGAGAGAAATGGAGCAGGCCGTGGAGCTCTGTGGGCGAGTAGGAGACTCACTTGGGGTTTTTGCACTTACTGGACAGGGAGGGCGGGGAGAGGGAGAGATGAGGTTTCCGGCTATCATTTGTCGATCAGTGTTGATGGGGCACATGCATGCTTAAAGGTACATGTTACAGACAATACCATATTAACCACGGGCTGGTCCCCATCTTGGGACACGTAATTGATGGCTTGGGGGTCTGGGCCTCCCGTATGGCATGGCATTGGGATGGATAAAGTAAGAGAGGAAAGGAGACTGTGACGTGAGCATTTCAGTGTGCCGGGCACTGTGCCCGAAGCTGTACGTTCTGCGTGTAATTTAACTGCTCAGACAGCCCTAGTCGAAGCCTGTTTACAGAAAAGGAAACTAGCTTAGGGGTTAAGTAACTCGCTCAAGAGCTACACAGCTAGAAAGTGGTAAACACAAGATCCAGACCCAGACGTCGTGACTCCGTGCACACTCCTGGCAGCCCTCTGAGAGCTCTCAGTGGCTGTGGAGGCCCCCAGGCCCCAGCACACTTACTTCTCGGGACATGCTTGCAGCCTCACTGACCTGAGGGCGGCTGTTCTAACAGGAGGATGACGTGAAGCAGCTGGTGGAGCGGATGATGGCGCTGCAGACTGACATCGTGGACCTGCAGCGCAGCCCCATGGGCCGGAAGCCGGGGGGCACGCTGGACGACCTGTGAGTACTGCTGGGGCCACGCTCTGCCCCGCACCCTCAGACGCATGTCCTAGGACCTGCCTCGGGTTCCAGATCTATGCAGTGGCAAGGAAAACTGACCTCGGTGAGTTGTGAGGATCAGTTCAGGGCCCATGTTTGGGAAGCAACTCATCATCTACAAAGGCTGTGGGATGCACGGGGCCTTTGCCAGTGCTGTCAGGGGTCCTCATGTACCCTGACCCCGCCCGGTGTGGCCAGAGCTCAGGGAGGCAGCCTCAGGAGGCTTCAGAGCAGCACAGCCCTAGAAGCTGCATCCAGCCTCCATCAGGCATTTGGTGACGGCTGCAGGGGGTATGAGGCATCTGCAGGCCTGAAGGAAGTCACCCGCAGGCCCTGGCATGGGGACAGGAGGGGACCAGCCAGGCGCCACTGGGCTGAGGACACATCACCGTGAGCTCCACAGCAGTCCCTGGTGCCTTCACTAAGGACTCTTAGGACAAGAAATCTGAGTGTCAGAAATTGGATTCTGTATTTACTCTAATTATTTAACCCTTTATTCTCCTGTAGCTTTTCTTCATTTAAGAATGTCAGCCCATCTCCTCTGTGTTCAGGGGGAAAGGGCTAGGAGTTTGTGTCTGCTTTGGGCCTGCAGCGCCCAGTTCTGTGGGCTCAGGGCCACTGACTGAACCTGGACTCCTTATCATAGATGCCACGGAAGGTAGAATTTGCAAGGACAAAGTGAAGTCTCCTTTCCTTAAGATTTTCTGTCACTTGAATTTTGATAATGAAGCAGATCATTTGCTTACTATAGATACCACCTAAAATGTCAGAAATCAGAAATCATAGTCTCACCAGGCACAGTGGCTCACACCTGTAATCCCAGCACTCTGGGAAGCTGAGGTGGGTGGATAGCTAGAGCTCAGGAGTTAGAGACCAGCCTGAGCAAGAGCGAGACCCCATCTCAACTAAAAATAGAAAAGTTAGCCAGGACTAGTGGTGAGCACCTGTAGTCCCTGCTACTCAAGAGGCTGAGACAGGAGGATCACTTGCACCCAAGAGTTTGAGGTTGCTGTGGTCTATGGTGACATGGCACTCTACTCAGGGTGACAGACTGAGACTGTCTCAAAATAGTAATAATAGTAATCTCCTCCAGTCAAGAAAGAGGAGATGCTGGATACTGCCGGCCTTGTTTCTAAGAAGCAGTGATCTGCTGTCAGGAATTAGCAGACCAGGCTGCACAGGTGCTTGTTTCACGTTGAGTCTGGACAGAACCCCTTTATGTATTTCAGAGAAGAGCAAGCAAGAGAGCTTTACCGGAGACTCAGGGAAAAGCCGAGAGGTGAGTGCAGCCCCACATCTGCCTAGGGCCCCTCTCGGCTCCTTTGTGGGGCTTTGGTCCTCTCTGCCTCGAGGAACTGGGCCACCTTTCCTCCCTGCAGACCAGCGAACCGATGGTGACAGTCAGGAAATGGTGCGGCTGCTGCTTCAGGCCATTCAAGGCTTTGAAAAGAAAGTGCGAGTGATCTACACGCAGCTCAGGTGTGGGCCCGGCCTCCTGCCCCTGCTCCTGGTGCCAGCATCTGCCTCCCTCTGCCTCCCCCTGCTCCAGCTTCTTGAGCTGCCTGGAGAAGCTTCATCCTCATCCGAGCTGCTTGCTGGGCTCATGGCTGCCAGGGCCAGGCTCTGCTTTCTCTGCTCCAGACGCCATTAGAGTTTGTCCCCTCCGTTCTTCACAGTAAAACCGTGGTTTGCAAGCAGAAGGCCCTGGAGTTGCTGCCCAAGGTGGAGGAGGTGGTGAGCTTGATGAACGAGGATGAGAAGACGGTTGTTCGGCTCCAGGAGAAGCGGCAGAAGGAACTCTGGAATCTCCTGAAGATCGCCTGTGTGAGTGAGACGCCACAGCTCTCGGCTGCCCTGGGCCTTTCTACCTCTGACCGCAGAGCCAGTGTCAGCCACTCAGCTGCTGCCATCTGTCCCCCTGTGCTCTGTGACTCGGGGGAGCAGGGAGGGCTCGTGCAGCTTGTTCTTACCTGTCCTGGTGTTGCTTTGCCTGCAGCTGCTATGACAAGCTGCCTCAAACCAGGCAGCTTCCAACAACAGAAACTTACTCTCTTGAGTTGCAGGGGCCAGAAGTTCAAAACCCAGGTGTGAGCAGGCCCATGCCCACTGGAGGCTTCCTTCAGCATCTCTTGACATGTGCCTGCATCACTCCAGCAGCTATCTCTCTGTCTTATCTGAGTGTCTCTCACACTTGACATTGGACTTGGGTCCTGCTCGAATAGTCCAGAATGATCTCACGTTGGGATCCTTACATCTCCAAAGACCCCTTTTCCAAATCAGGTCATATGTGCAGCTTCCAGGAATTAGAAAGTGGGCATATCCTTTCTAGGGCTGCCACGCCAGCCCACGGTAGTGCTTGTCAGTGCAACTGGGGCCCCACCTGCGTCTCTACTGCTGCCGCCTGCAGTATGGGACCCACACTTTGCACTCACAACATCTTAACGTAGCAGTGACCCCACCGAATGCCAACTGAGAAAATGTAAAGACAAAGAAAGGAGAAGAGCCAGCCAGGTAAAAGCTGTGTCCTGGAGGCCAGGGCTGCGGGAGTGTGAGCCCCTGTGAAAGGCTGCCGGGAGGTGGTCAGGGAAGGGAAGGGAGCGATTGAGTTAGCACAGCCTTCAGGGACCAAGGGAAGGAGAGTGGGGAGGGAGATGGTCGCTCACAGTGGGACCAGGACCAGGGTAGTGTTTTCTAAAGATCCTGGAGGCTGGAGCATATGTGTAGGCGTAGCAGAAGGACATAGTACACCCGAGACTCGCCGAGTCGAAGGGAGAGGGGAGCGTGTGCGGGGCGTGGTCCTGAGAACGAAGGAGAGTTGATGCTGTGAGCACAGTGATGGGCTTGCCACGGGAGGGTGAGTGACATGTCCCCTCCGAAAGGAGGAAAAGGAGAAAGAGGCGGCCAGGTGGGGAAGATTGAGAAGGAGAGGGAAGGCGAGGCCTGATCTGCCGTCTGCATTCATTGGATGTTTACTGTGCACCAACTGCACGCGGGGCAAGCAGGCTGCGCAGGGACAGTCCTGGACCTGTTTCAGGGCCTTCCTGACAGCCTGACGGTCCTGACCAGGACACAGGAACAGCTTAGGGTGGGCAGTGCTGTGAGTGGCTGTAGTGGCAGGGCTGTAACTGGAATGCAGAAGAGGAAGGCCAGCTCTGTCTTGGAGGTGAGGGACGCTCTATCCCTGTAGCGTTGCTGGAAAGGGACACCTGAGCCTGGGGAACTGATTTAAAAAGAGGCTCCTGTGGCCCATGGTGCTGCAGGCTGTACAGGGAACATGGCACCAGCATCTGCTGGGCTCCCCATGAAGGCTTCAGGCTGCTTCTCTTGTACCAAGAGGAAGGGGAGACTGGTGTGTGCAGGGGGAGGAAGCTAGAGGCAGCAGAGGGGCGTGCCAGGCTCATGAACAGCCAGGTCTCAGGGGACCTACTCACTCCCTGCCCCAGAAAGGCCCCCAGTCTGTTCATGAGGGTCCTGCCCCAGACCAGACATCTCCACAGGCCACGTCTCCAGTACTGGGGATCAGTGTCTGCATGAGGTTTGGGGGTCCAACATCCAGACTACGTCGGGGAGCAACAAGAAATACCCACAGGGAACATTTCCACTGGAGAGAGCAGGACTCAGGTGGGGGCCGGGGAGGGGCTGAGACAGTCGGGACTGAGACAGTGCTTTGTCCCAGGCAGCGAGGTGGGGACACTGGTATACTCTGGGTGGCGGGGGAAAGGATGTCACAGAGGGTGAAACTGGAGAGGTTGGCAAGGGCTGGCTTGGGCTGGCTCATGCACGCTGCTCTGCTTCTGAGCAGACAGGAGGCATGGCAGGAGCTGTCCCTTTTTGTGGTCACTCTAGTGGCAGCTGGAGGATGTTCTTGTGCCCTTGAGGGAACTCCACACTGAGAGTGAGGGTCCCTCAGCAGGGCTGAGCGGTTTTGTGGTGCACAGGTCAGGGTGGCAGGATGCCTGGGGCAGAGTCCCCGGCTATCAGGGAGCCCTGGTACGGGAGGCAGACATCACTCTCTGCAGGGGGACAGGAAGGCACAGGTGCCTGGATGTCTGGTTGACACAGAGCAAGAAGGTTGGTCCCACAGCCTGAGGGCTGAGAGTGGCCGTGGGTCTGCAGGCTGCACGGAGCACCAGGAAAGGGAAGGGAGGCACAGACGAGGCAGGACCCCGGCCTGGTCATCTGCACTGGGACATGAAGTGGTTACAGCACCTCCAGGACGTAAGACGTCCTGGTTTCTTCCCAGCTGTACCCTAGAGGATGTGGGTCACATAACCTTTTCCTGGGTCTCAGTCTTCTACTTAGAAAAGAGTAAAAGTTGCTTCCTTTTCTTTTTTTTGCAGTTTTTGGCTGGGGCTAGGTTTGAACCTGTCACCTTTGGCATATGAGGCAGGCGCCCTACTCCTTTGAGCCACAGGTGCCGCCCCTGCTTCCTTTTCTTCACTTGTATAAGTTCATCAACTAAAAGGAACCAAACTAATGAACAAAGCCTACAAGCACTCCCGCCTCCCATTGGAATCTTTCTCCTGAACTGTGCCTGCTGATCAGAAACGCTGAGGCTGAGGCACCAGGTGCCCACCACCTTCTCACACAGAAATACCAGAGTTCCTGGGAGTAGCCGTAGCGTCTTGGGTGCATCACTTAGCTTCAAACTTCTCTCTATTTGGGTTTGTCCTTTAGAGCAAGGTCCGAGGTCCTGTCAGTGGCAGCCCAGATAGCATGAACGCTTCTCGACTGAGCCACCCCAGTCAGCTGATGTCTCAGCCTTCTGCAGCCCCCGACACCCCGGACAGTTTTCCTGAGTCAGCCAAGAAAAGGTAGGTTGCCGTTAACAGCAGCAGGCGTGGCATCCACAGGCTCGTAGGAGGTCCCAGGGACAGAAGGGCACATTGTCACGGATCAGGGTCTGATGATTTTGCACACACTTCCCTTTGAGTCTGTTACATCTGCTGGGCCCTGTGGGAACTGAAGTGACGTGCATTCTGCTCTCAGCCCTTTGTAATTCACTGACTGGACAGTCCCTCTGTCCAAAGGCTGGATTCCTGCCTGGCTGCTGGTTGCTAACAGGACTATGGGAGGTGCTGGTCATTCCCACGCTGTGATAGTCCTTGGATCACACAAACCAGGATCCCGGGTCCCCCATCCTCCTGTGTCTCCTGCTCATCTCTTCTCCTCCTTGCTCTTGCTGGAACTGCTGTGCAGGGGGTGAGCAGGACGGTTTGGCCCTGGCGAGGCCTCTGCCTCTTCCTCCCACCCCCCGGCTGTTGCTGCAACAAGGTCTTCTCTGATTGAATTAATACTGCTCTAACCAACCAAGTTGTGGCTTCCTGCTGCTTTATAGAGTTGGACTGGGTGTTTCCAGACATGGTGGCCCCTCCGTGCCTCTCCAGGCTGGTCCCCTTTCTTACAGACCTCTTGCTCATACAGACAAGCAGCAGCAGCAGCAGCAAGTCCCCAGGTCCCTCTGGAGGCCTGACCCCTGACGCACAGGGTGGTGCTGCAGTTTGCTCTGATGCCTGGCGAGGGTGGGGAGCCTACTGTTGTGGAGCCCTGGCTCCCCAGGTGCCCTCCACGAGGGACCCCACCGCAGGGCCTCTGCTCCCCCTTTCTTCAGAACTCAGTCGTCCACACACCCCAGCCTGTCTCTCCCTGTGGTTCGTTTTGTTCTGAATTCAGCTCCATGGGTGTCTTCTGTGTACTGGGCTCCTCAGGATCCTGCAGGCATAGAAATGAATTAATGATTGCCTGGGGGTGGGGATGGGAATGACTAAATAGGGACCAGGTTTCCTTTGGGAATGATGAAAATTTCCTAAAACTAGATACAGCGATGGTCACACAACTCTAAATGTAATAAAACCTTGAATTTTGCACTTTTAATGGGTGAACTGTATATAGAGTATATCTTTTTTTTTTCTTTCGTTTTGAAGAGACAGGGTCTTGCTCTAGTGCCCAGGCTAGAGTGCAGAGACATAATCATATCTTGCTGCAGCCTCAACTCCTGGGGTCATATGATCCTCCTGCCTCAGCCTCCCAAGTTTCCAGGACTACAGGCAAGTGCTACCACACATGGCTAGTGAAGATGTTCTTTGGCCAGGCACATGCCTATAGTCCCAGTGCTGTGGGAGGCTGAGATGAGAGGATTGCATGAGGCCAGGAGTTGAAGAATAGCCTGGGCAACATAATTACCCCATATGTAAAAAAAAAAATGCAGACATATTAGCTGGGCGTGGTGGCACATGCCTGTAATCCCAGCTACTCAAGAGGCTAAGGTGGGAGGATTGCTCGAGCCCAGGAGTTGAAGGCCCCGGTGAGCTATGATCCTGCCACAGCACTCCAGAGAGACTCTGTGTTTTTAAAAAACCCAGCTCTTACCTTCAGGAGTTTATAGCCTGTTTTGATATTTAATCATATGTGACCTTTTATTATTAATTATTTCCCAACTTCTTGTGAGCTCCTGGATGATAGTATCCAGGTCTTGTGCTCTTGGCAGTGAGCCTTTAACTTGGCTTGAAGCCCCATCGATGAGGCTTAGCAGAGACATGGTGAGTTCCTTCCATCAGAATGTTAAGCTTTGCTGGGTGAGGGGAGTTCCAGAGCTCTGTCTTCCCATATTGGGCATAGTTCCTCTGATGACATCCTCAAAGCTCTAGAAAAATAGACCAGGGGCAGGGCGTCTCTCGTCTCTCTACGTCCTAGAACTGAGGGGAGAAAAGGATGGGTGTTTTATTACACAGCCCTTTTCTCACTGTGACCCACTCCTAATAGGAAACATGCCTTTCTTAACTATGAAAAGGAAGATCAGACGAGGTTAGATCAGTTCCCAGAACTTGCTTTTCACCCGATCTGAGGAACTGTGGAAACCTGGTAAATTGCATGGTGTGGTTTGTTTTTTTCTTCCATTTCAAGAATTGGAAAACAGGTGATTTGGGGAGATACCTTTAAAATTTGGCAGCTTGGAGAGAATTAAATGAACCTTTTGTATGAAGTAGACATCTAGCTGCTTTTCACATTTTGGACAGCCTGGACTTGGGCCTCTGAAAGGTGCTCATTAACTCAGTGGATGAAATCACTGGTCAGTGACACTGTTTTGAGAGACTCAGCACCCAAGTAATGGTCACTTCATTTTTAAATGTTCTCAGAAGCTGTTTTGCATATTTTAAAGCAGTGACGGCAGCTCTGGTAGGTAACAGTAGCCACTTTCTAATAACGCCATTGTTTTCTTCAGTGAGGAGCTGGTGGCTGAAGCTCACACCCTCTGCACCCAGCTAGAGAGTGCCGTGCAGGACACCGTGAGAGGGCAGGACCAGAGTTTCATGGTAATGGCCTGTGTGTGACCAGCTGTGTCATGTCCTCTCTGTAGCAAAAGAGGGAAGAAAATGGTGATGCATCCAGGATTGTCCTCAATCTCTTTTTGTCATTTATGTTAACAATAATGGCTAATGTGAGGGAGTGCTTGTGAGTGTGTCATCTGCATCGTCGTGTTTAATCCTGACAATCCTGACAGTGGCATCCCCAGCCCTTCCTCTCCTGCACCTTGGTACCACCACCAAGCACCTGTGTGTATTGAGTGGTCTGGACTCTGGTGACAGAGTGGGAGTGTGGCCTGTGCCTCAGGGACTCAGCTTCCCCGCAGGTAGTACTAGTTATGGGGAAGCCAACCCAAAGAAACCTCGCTCCAGTACAGGTGCAGCAGCACAAAGCTCACGTTACCAGGGACCCTAAGTCTCCCCTCCAGATCTTCAGATGGCCTTTCCCTGCTGACGCTCTCACCTGCTCAGCCCCACTAAGTCCCAAGTTCTCAGGAGCATTAGAGAGATGCCGCTGCTGCCTGCTGTCACCTGTGGTGTGGCCATGCGTCCCCAGCTTGCTGCTGCTGCCTGCAGTCAGTCACCTGTGGTGTGGCCGTGCGTCCTTAGCTTGCTGGCTGCTGCCCACAGTCACCTGCAGTATAGCCGCGCATCCCCAGCTTGCTGGCGGCTGTCCCTTGATGCTCTTCCTCACCGTGGTTTGATCCTTTCACTGCTTGCCCCACTCTGCCAGAGGAACAGAAGCCTCAGCAGGCTGGAAGTTGGTAGCTGAGATTAGCTCCTGGGGCCACCCACCTGCCCTGAGCGCATGTGTGACTGCTGCAACCACGAGCGCACTGAGATGGCCTTCCAGTGTCCCCAGAGTCTCAGAAGCTGACCAGTCCAGGGAGGAGACCCCAGGCAGCAGAGGGCAACCCTGCAGTAGCAAGTCTGCTGTTAGTAGGAGGGCTTGCACTTCCTTCCAAACTGTGCCGCTTGCCTCCTGAGAGGAGAGAGAGCCTGTGGTGTGTTGCTGGCTGTGTGTTCGTGACATGCCTATCAACTTGCAGACCCTCGACTGGAGCTGGTTACAGACGGAGGACGAGGAGCAGAGCGGTGGGGAGCAGGCGGCGTGATGAGGGCGGTCTTGACCCTTGACGCGGGGCTCACAGTGATGCCTTCTGCAGTGATTCCTCACGGACTTGGGCATCCAAACAGAGCCCTCACTTCTCCAGCCTCTGTGACCTTCACCCTAAGCCCAGGGCGTGGCCCTCAGCAGCCACCACGTAGTCTACACGCTGGGAATCTCCATCACAGGCCCAGTGCATGGTGATGCCGGTCGCGAGAGCTCAGGGAGCAGCCACAGAGCTGCTTCCTCCATTGTGACAAAGTGCTTGATGTGCGATTTGCCACAGAGAAGGCTGGGCAGATACCTGACTCAGGTGCTGAGGACAGAGTCTATATAGCACTTGATGCCAGCCCATCCTCTCTAATCTCCAGAGGCCCCAGCCACCCCACCACCCTCACCATGCAGCTGTGTTCAGAGTCTTGGCCTGGCCCCATCCTCTCTCCCTCTTTTCACGGCTACAAGTTGACTGTCAAGCTGCCCCATCTGCTGTCCTTTCAGCCACAGTGACTCACTGTAGCCTGGATAGAAGAGCAGCTACCTCCTTTTTAGTCCCAAAGATTATCTGCAGTGAGTTGTCATGTAGAAGGCAGCAGGAAGGAAAGGGGTCTGCAGAGACTGGCCGCTGACCACTGTGCTCATCTCCGTTCTTACCCAGACGCACCCACTAGGGGGGATGGGGTGTCCTGTCTCTCCCTCATCTAGCAGTGTTAGTAAACGGATTTATTTTTTAAACAGTTTCTGTATTTTGTTAACAAAATGATTCCAACACTTATACCAGGTTCCCCTGTCCACTTAATTTGCCATCCCTACAGTTAGGACTTCCAAACTAAAGTCGTGGAAATTTTTATAAAATTCAAAAGTGCCTGGGTCATTAGCAGCGCAGTGCTGCTTCAACATTTTGCACAACTTCTGTTCTCTATAAAAGCACGAGTGAAAAGGGAGTTTGGAAGATCACACACGGACGAGCTTGGTTGGGAAAGAAAGTTGGAACAGGGGAAGCTCACCAGGTGGTTTCCGTGGAGATGGTGTGACATGTTCTGTGGTCAAGTATGATTAAGAAACATTCGTGTTTTAATTGCTTTTTGGAAATCTGCCTTGTACTCCGGTAAAATACCTGAAAAGTCTCATAATAAAGAAACTGACTTAAACTTTGTCTAAATCCACGATTTACCATTGTCATTTGCCATAGAGCCTGCACCCCGTGTCTGTAACATTCATTAACATCCAGGGAACTCGGCTTTGACAAGGCCTGGTTTTGGAAACCCTGACAAGGGACACAGTGGGAAATAAGACCCAAAAGGCAGGGATGGGGTCCCACTAGGGAGAGAGAATGGACGTGGGGCGGAGGGCCGGGGCCTCCTTTGTAGGCAATGGGGAGTCACAGACGAATTTTGAGCAGAGAAATGACGTGGCTGAAGGGTAAAAAATAATCACAGCTGGAACATTTCTGTGATTTAAAAAAGGTAAAAACCCTAGAGTTAGGACTTACACTCCCAAAAAGATGAAACAGGTGCACTTTTTCCTCTAAGTACAGCTGAAGTCCTTGGACATAGAAACAAACAAGCACAAGGGGACTGACAGGTAGAGATAAGAAGGGAGACCGTCCAGGTGTGCGGCTGGCCTGGGGAGGGCACCGGGGCGAGTCCCCTGCTTTTCTTTTTGTCTCATTTACCCAGAGCAGGTGCTGCAGAGGCTGACCAGTGGGCACAGACAGAAAGGCCTCAAGAAAAGCCTGTTCTCTCCAACCATATTGCTTCCCTAGGCCTGCTGTGATAAATACCACAAAGTGGTGCAACGGAAGTTGATTCTCTGACCATTCCGGAGGCCAGACGTCTGCAGTCCAGATGCCGGCAGTCCTGCGCCTTCTCAAACCTGCTCCGAGGGCTCGAGGGAGATTCCGTGTCTTGCTTCTTCCAGCCCCTGGTGGCTCCGGACACCCCTTGCCCTGCACTGCACCTCTCTGCAGGGTCGTGTTGCTGCCTCGTCTCTGTCACTTCTCCCCTGTTGTGTGTCCATCATAAGAACATGTGTCAGGTGACGCCTATTTCTCAATGGGTAGGGCACCAGCCCCATATACCAAGGGTGGCGGGTTCAAACCCGGCCCTGGCCAAACTGCAACAACAAAAGTAGCCGGGCGTTGTGGCAGGTGCCTGTAGTCCCAGCTACTTGGGAAGCTGAGGCAGGAGAATCGCCTAAGCCCAGGAGTTGGAGGTTACTGTGAGCTGTGACACGGCACTCTACCAAGGACAATAAAGTGAGACTCTGTCTCTAAAAAAAAAAAAAAAAAGAACACTTGTCATTGGACAGGGAATTCCTCAACCTGGGAATTCCAGGATAAGCACTTTAAAGATTTTAAGTGGAATCACGTATTTTGCCATCTGAAGTGCTATTCACAGGTTCTGTGATTAAGATGTGAAGGTATCTTCTTGGGTACCACTACTCGACCCACTGCACTAGCCAAGGGACCAGAAACAGCCAGCCTAGAATGACGAAAATGTCTGGACAATAACTACTCCAGCCAAACACCACAAAGAACTCTGGAGCCCTGCTGCTGTCCTGCTAGCAAGGCCAAGTGAGAAACTCGTAATAAAGTGTCCCGTGTCCCCCACTGGACTGGGGTCAAGCCCAGGCAGGGAGCTGGGACATCGGTCAGGGCTGGCTGGTAGCAAGGCTCTGCCACATGATGTCAGTGGACACCACGTGGGACGTGGCAGGCAGACCTCTGCCCCCAAGCAGGTGGTATCAGGATCTAAAGGCCCCTCTGACGCAGTAACAAGCCTGCTAGAGAGTCCTGACTCCCAGGGCTCCCCAAGGGTCATAGGGAGCCCATGTCACCCCAGTGTCCACAGAGGCAGAGGGGGGACGTGGATTCCATTCCTAGCAGTGGTGAAATGGGACTTTGTTTGCATGAAGTAACAGTGTTGGAGAAAGGTAACCTGAGCGGATCCAGGGTCTCATCACACTCAGACATGCGGCTTTCCTTCCTGAGTCACTTTCCCAGCTGAACTGGGAAAATCCAGCTAGATGAGAAGAGGCAGCACACTCACTGAGGTGACCCCTGCGTTAGAATCACCTGACAAGGATTTAAAACCGCCCATCATAAAAATGTCTGAAGTAGCAATTGTGAGTTTGCTTGAAACAAATGACACGACAGAGACTGTCTTAGCAAAGAATCAGGAAGTGTAAAGAGCAACCAAGCAGAAACCTTAAAACCCAGAATACGAGACCTGAAGTCAAAATGTCAGTGGCTGGGCATTCTTTTTTTTGAGGCAGAGGCTCACTAGATCATCTATGGTTGAGTGGCATTTTAGCTCACAGCAACCTCAGACTCTTGGGTTCAAGTGATTCTCTTGCCTCAATCTCTCAAGTAGCTGGGACTACAGGTGTCTGCCACAAGGCCCAGCTATTTTTTAGAGACGAGGGTCTCGCTCTGGCTCAGGCTGGTCTTGAACCTGTGAGCTTAGGCGATCCACTCACCTTGGCCTCCCAAGTGCTGTGATTACAGTTGTGAGCCATCACACGTGGCCTGGGCATTCTTAAAACTAGGGATTGTTGGCTCTGCGCCTATAGCTCAACCGGCTAAGGCGCCAGCCATGTACACCTAAGGTGGCGGGTTCGAATCCCCAGCCCGGACCCGCCAAACAACAATGATGGCTGCAACCAAAAAATAGCCGGGCGTTGTGGCGGGCGCCTGTGGTCCCAGCTACTTGGGAGGCGGAGGCAAGAGACTCGCTTGAGCCCAGGAGTTGGAGGTTGCTGTGAGCTGTAATGCCATGGCACTCTACCTAGGGGGAAAGCTTGAGGCTCTGTCTCAAAAAAAAAAAACTAGGGATTGTTAGTATCTGAGAGGTCCAAGACTGAAAATAAACGATATTTATTTTCGTTCAAAATGTGAACGAAAGGATACGGAGTCCAGGTTCTGTGTGGGCAGCCTCGGCCTTTATTTCTACCGGGGTGCAGGTGAGATGAGCTCCAGAAGGAAGTCAGCATGTGGGGTACGGTGGGTGGGGTTTCTGAGGGGTCGGGGGTGGGGTGGGTATGTTCTCTCTTCCCTGGGTGGGACATCCTAGTTGGGCTGGTTGGTTCTATTTGGGCGGGTCCCTCTACCACTATCACGACTTGTTAAAATGGTGACATAACTTAGGGTGACCCTCTAGGCCTGATTTGTCCAGAGCTTTCCTGGTTTTAGGGCTTCAAGTTCTGTTTCAAGTGTCTGTTCAGATTTTGCCACCCGGGATGAGTAGCCACCTTACGTCATGATCTGTCAGCATCCTCTGTAGTTTGAAATGTTTGACACTTTACTTCTGCAAAACTGCCACTTAGGATCTTCATTCAATAAATACTTACCGATCACCTACTATGTAGCAAACAGAAGTGAAGTTCCTGCCTCATGGAGCTCACATTCCACACTGGCCAGAGGAAGAGGGGGCAGGGTGTGAATAAGGCAATGTTTTTCAGCTTTTTTTTCTTTTAATTTCACAGCACCCTTGAACCTATGGTTAAACTTCCACAGCACACTTAATTTATGTTGATCAAAAGAAAGAGTATAAAAAAGAATATACTTAACCATGCTTCAAACTTCTTTTGAAAATCATTAATGATCTTTAAAAACTTTGCGTCACACCTAAGATCCTCTCACAGCACACCAGTGGAAAATCACTGGGATAGGGAGAAGTAACACGCACGAAAATATCCAATGGGCATGGCGCCCATAGCTCAGTGGTTAGAGCACTGGCCCATGCACCAGGGCTGGTGGGTTTGGCCCCAGCCTGGGCCTGCTAAACAACAATGACCAAAAAAAAAAAAAAAGTGCCAGCCATTGTGGCAGCCACCTATAGTCCCAGTTACTGGGAGGCTGAGGCAAGACATTCACTTAAGCCCAAGAGTCTGAGGTTGCTGTGAACTGTGATGTTACAGCACTCTACTGAAGGAGACATAGTGAGACTCTGTCTCAAAAAATCAAAAAAGAAAAGAAAAGAAAATATCCAATGGTTTTCAGTGCCATGAATAAAATAAAACACATAATGGAAGAGAGAGTGGCCAGCACCATTCAGGAATGCGACCAAGGAGTGACCACCGGACTGAGACCTGGATGATGAGAAGGCAGCCAAAGACCCACACCGTGAGTCCAGGTCTGAAGCAAGAACACGAACGTGCTAAACAGTCACAGGTGCGTCTACAGGAGGAGAGAAGTGGCAAGAAATGAAGCAGACCAGGCGTGAGACGGGTCACGTTAGGCCTTGTGGGCTGTGGAAGTTTAGATTTTATTCAAAGTGTAGTGAAAGGTATTAATATTTAAGTAAATGGATGAAATATATTGAGATTACATCTTAAAAAGACCACTCATCCTGTTAGAATGTTTGATGGAAACAAGAGCAGAAGCAGGAGATGGGCTGAGGAGGTCAGGGTAGGCTGATGAGACTTGCTGATGTGCTCGATGTAGGGTGTGGAAAGAGAAAGGCCAGGCGCCTATAGTTCAACAGCTGGGGCGCCATCCACATACACCGCCATCCACATCCATGGAGCTGGCAGGGTCTTATCCAGCCTGGGTCTGCCAAACAACAATGACAACTATAATTTAAAAAAAACATAGCCAGGCATTGTGGTGGGCACCTGCAGTCCCAGCTACTTGGGAGGCTGAGGCAAGAGAATTGCTTAAACCCAAGAATTTGAGGTTGCTGTGAGCTGTGATGCCACAGCACTCTACCCAGGGCAACATAGTGAGACTCTGTCTCTTAAAAAAAAAAAAAAAAAAAGCAGGCGTCTTTAAACAGGTGAAACTGGCCAAGCTGGAAAAGCTGGTTAAAGGCTGGAAGTGTAAAGTAATTTACCATAAAGGTTGAAGAGTAAAGGAGAGGCTGGGAACCAACATGTACACACACACACACACAAGACTCACACACAGTCACACAAACACACTCACAGGTGCCCCCTTCCCCCCGGAATGGCCAGGAAGGAAGAAGGAAAACCTAGAGCATGTATCCTGGAAGTTAGCTGAAAACAAATTATTCCAAGACTGGCTAAGAGAGTCAAATTGTTCTGAGAATATAAAGACAAAGAATTGGTCATTTTCCTTGGATTCTTAGGCACTAATTTTTAAACAGTTGTCATTAATATTCACATAAAATGATCCCACAATTCCCTACATTTTTAAATTTCAAAACTCAGAGGTGAACAAACGTTTTCATTTTATGAGGAGTAATCATTCTTCAAAACAAAATAATATGCATGTTGGCAAATGAAAATGTGACATCAGCAATATTTTATTTTACAAACATAATTCTGGACTCATACTGCATTTCCAGGCGATTGTTTTGTGCATAAATAAAATTAAAATCTTATTACAAAATGACACATAGTTACTGTAGAACTGAAAATGTATAAAAGAAATATCAAGAACATGAAATTCAGTGATCTCACTATCCAGCTTAATCACTATTAATATTTTATTCATTAATACTCTTCCAGTCCCTTTAAAATTCCCATTTTTCAAAAATGAAATAATACTTTAGATATAATTAGTTTCTATGATTAGCAAGGTTGTGGTGGTTATGTTTTTTACAGTATTAATGTACATCTTAATGTGATGCTTATTTTGTATATGATGACATTTGGATTTCTTTAGTGACTTCCCTACTTATATAATTTGCTCATTTTTCTAATGGGCTGTAGTTGTCTGTTATTAACTTGATAGATGTGTATATATTTGTATTATGAATTACCCTTTTTTGTAAGCATTTTATAAATATTTGTATTTCCCCCAAATTATTCCTTGCTTCTTAACTTTATTCCTGCAGCTTAACACCTGGAGTCCCACTGTCACTTGGATATATGACTTGTCTAGTTTATTCTGTTCACATTTGTTTTCTATTCAGTCTATTCCAGGCTACATGCATATCTTGATTATAGGTCATCATGTTACAATGAGGGTTCCATCACTTACGATCTAGGTAAAGCACGGCTCCCTTTCTTGTGATCTTTTCATCACTTTGGCCATACCACAGAGACAGAATAATTAAAAACAAAATATCTTTTGACATTGGTTAGCAGATGTGCTAAAACGTTTGGTATGGGAGACTTCTTATTCTTGGCAGGTCTCGTTACAGGCTCCAGGGCCTTACAGAAAGTTTTGACAATACGTGTCAAAACTTGCCAGTGTTGCATGTCAGCACATATGCAACACGCCGTGCATTCAGAAATTGCTGTGCACAGATGTTTGCACAAGGGTCGTCTACTGCCCCACCCCATCCCATCATCTCACACATTCTCCTCCTAGGGAGAGGAGTCCAGAGAAACACTGGGAAAACAGATGTAACCTCTGAAGTCGAGAATCCAGGTGTCCTACAGAAAACCCATCTCTTTCCCTCCTTACCCAACACCCAAGCCCCCGAGCCCCAAAGCCCCGGCAGCCTCCGCTCTGGCAGCCTCCGCTCTGGCCACGCCCCCTCTGACCCCGCCCCTGGGGTGACGTCACCACGCGCGCCGCTCACCGCGCCCCCCTGTCAGAGGCAGCCATTGTTCAGCCGGTCGCGCCGGTCGCGCCGGGCTGGGTTTCCCCTGCTGGGGTCTCCAAATCCTGACCCTCTTTAAAGCTGGGGGAGGGGCCAGTCTGATCGCTGTGGGGTCTTTGGGTGCAGGCCACCATGAGCAAGCGGAAGGCGCCGCAGGAGACTCTCAACGGGGGAATCACCGACATGCTCACGGGTGAGCGCCGCGCCGGCCCCTGGGCTTTCTTCTCTTTTCCTTCCGACCCATTCATTGCCTCCCCTTCCTCTTCTCCTGCCCCAGACAGTCCGGCGGGAGGGGTCGGCCCCTTGCAGCGTCCAGTCCGTCGTGGGGGTCTCGCTTCGGCTCCCGCGGTTGTCGGTCCTGCTCTGGGCACCTGGGTCAGCACTTCGGGCTGTCTTTGGTCTCGCCCATGGAGAGCCGCCACATCCCCTTCCAGGAAACTGAGTTCTCGTTTGTTTACTCGTTGTTCTTGCTGACTCAAGCTTCTCGTTGCTTTTCAGAACTCGCAAACTTTGAGAAGAATGTGAACCAGGCTATCCACAAGTACAATGCTTACAGGTGAGACCGCGCAGCCTTCTCTGGTAGCATGCGTTTGGGGACGCCCTTGTTTAGTGTGGCAGTTAACAGAACTGAGGGTCCGGTGGATGCTGTTCCATCTGCAACAGGAGCAAAATGCAAGAACCTAGACTGGCGCCGTATGCAATATTTCTGGAAGAATTTGGGCAGAGCTCTGTAGGATCAATTCAGGCACGTTCCCAGTTCCAGTTGAACATAGTTGTAGCTGGGCGGCGCCTGTGGCTCAGTGAGTGAGTAGGGTGCCGGCCCCATATACCGAGGGTGGCGTGTTCAAACCTGGCCACAGCCAAACTGCAACCACCAAAAAAAAAAAAAAAAAAAAAAAGCTGGACCTTGTGGCGGGGACCTGTAGTCCCAGCTACTAAGGAGGCTGAGGCAAAGAGAATCGCCTTAGCCCAAGAGCTGGAAGTTGTTGTGAGCTGTGACACCAAGGCACTCTACCAAGGGCAACAAAGTAAGACTCTGCCTCTAAAAAAAAAGAAAGAAAGAAAGAAAATAGTTGTAGCCTAGCCTAATACATATTTTCCCCATCATCAAAGGTGAATTAGTGAAAGTGCTGTGTAAGCCATAGTGAGAGACAGTGTTGAGGTCTGTACTGTGAAATAGATTTGGTTCAAGGAATCTCATTTTCCCTCTGTTGGGCTGTGGTTATTCCTGACACCTTCATCCTTTCCTTGTCCATCTCACCAGGGGTTGTATCCTGTTCATCATTCCCACCTAATTCTGTTCCTTATCCTGTAAATGTATCCAAGTCCCTCAGCTCTTAAAAACAGAAATGAAACAATCTTAACTTCCCTCTAGCTAGCATCTTATCTGTATTCTCGCTTCCTGAATAATCTGCCTTTCTTGCCTGGACTTCTTCATCCTTGGTTATACCTTATCTCATCGAGTGTAATTTCCATCCTCCTATTCCTCTGAAAATGCTCTTAACCTCATCTCACTGAGTTCTCAGTGGCGTTCACCACTAGCTTACTCCATGAAAGTCTCTTGACTTCTGTGATGCCAGTCTCTTCTGTTCACCTCTTCTGTCTTCTTGATGTTGTACAGGTTGACATCCCTAATGTGAAAATCTGAAATGCTCCAAAATCCAAAAGTATTTGAGCACCAACATGTCATCACAGTGGAAAATTCCACATCTCACATCAGGTGACAAATTGTAGTCAAAGCTTTGTTTCATGCACAAAATTATTAAAACTATTGTATAAAATTACCTTCAGGCTATGAGTATAAGGTATATGTGAAAAGTAAATGAATTTTGTGTTTAGACTTGGATCCTGTCCCCAAGATATGTCATCATGTATGTGCAAATATTCTAAGATCTGAAAAAAATCTAAAATGCTTCTGGTCCCGAGCATTTTGCATAAGGATGATCAACCTGTATTTCCCAGAAATCTGCCCTCAGCCCTCCTTTCTCACCTCCATGCTCTCCCTGGCAATCCTGCCATTTTTGGCTTGGAATACCACTTAATGTCACTGACCCCAAATATGTGTCTCACTGAGTTTTCCTCCAAATTTTTAGCCCTATATTTTCATTATCCCAACTCAGCTTCCTTCTTCCTTTCCCATTCAATGTAATTCCAAACCGATTATGTTCCCGCCTCTCTTTCCTTCCTGTGACTTCCTATGTAAAGTAATTGTACTATTATCCACACATTCGATGATCTACGAATCATGAAGACATTCACCCATCCATTCTACTGAGTCTCAGTGGTCTTCAGAGACGAGGTATTTAGTCATCAGGGGACAAGTGAGGGAGAGTAATCTAGGCAAAGGAAACATATGCCAGAACATTGGGATATGAAAGGGTGTATGACATTTTCTAGAAGCCAGTAGTAATTCAATTTGCATAAGTGATATGGTCAAGTAGGAAATAAGTCTGGAAAAGCAGGTGATGCCCTATCACCCTGCATACTCCTCCATTCCTTAATACTATATGGTTCTCTTGATTGTGCCCAGAATATCCTTTTGAAAATAGTTATCTGATCTTGTCATTCTGCTATATCAAATAATTAATTAAAATTTTCTCTTTAACTTAATAAAGCCCAAATACATCATGTCATACAAAAGATCTTTCATGATCTGATTCTTCCCTTTCAGGCTTTGCCCCACAGTGCCAATTATCTGACCTGCTTGCCTTTCTTGAAATAATTGCCTCCATAAATTGCCTTCAGCCCACTCCTTAGTTCATAAATATAGCAGAATCCCCATAGTGGACCAACTCCCTACCTTGACCATCTCTTTAAGTTGACCTAATTTGTGTAGCGTGGGCACCCACCACATGTATGTATGACACAGGAGGCCTAGTTCCTTACGTCGACCACTTCTGTATGTGGACAAGTTTGTTATAGGCCCTTGGGTGGTCAACTTAGAGAAGTTCTACTGTAGGTCCTCTCCACACTCATCATCAGTCATATGCTTACAGAGAAGTTAAAATTCATATCTAAAGGTTCACATATGCTGAACTAGAAGGAAAACCACAGTTCCAAGGGCTATCTGATATTTATGCTTTAGATTTAGCTATACTACTGCTTTTTGTTAATCCCAACTCTTAACTGCACTTAGCATTGAAATTATAGGTGGAGTACCATCAGTGAGCGCCTAGGTTGTACCCGGTCATTACTGAGGTCAGTATATGTGGAGATGGGGAAGAATCACAGGTGGTTGCTTTATGTTGAACTGAAATGAGAAAATTAAAAAACAACTGACAGGATGACATAGGGGAATGCAGTTTGAAACCGTGAATTTTAAAATAGCACCCAGAAGCATATTTGGTGCCAAATTCAAATACCATAGCACATTTTTATGAGGAGGTAATGAATAATTTCTAAAAACTAGCTATTAAAAAAGGAGGCCCAGTGATATTTTCCACTTATTTCCTCAAATAGAAAAGACTGCTGGTCTCCTGAAACTCTCGAGTATTATATATATATACAGCTAAAATCATATTATACAGTATATATATATATACAGTATATATATATATACAGCTAAAATCATATTATCCTCAAATATGAGGATTTTTAAAATGCTTTTTAAAAGTTAGGCTGGGTGTGCCTGTAATGCTAGGGCACTTTGGGAGGCCAAGGTGAGAGGATTGCTTGAGCTCAGGAATTCAAGACCAGCCTCAGCAAGAATGAGACCCTGTCTCTACTAAAAATAGAAAAACTAGCAAGGTGTTGTAGCAGGTGCTTATAGTCCCAGGTACTCAGGAGGCTGAGTCAGAAGGATCACTTGAGCCCAGGAGTTTGAGCTTACTGTGAACTATGATGCCACAGCACTTTACCAGGGGTGACGCTATCTCAAAAAAAGACTCTATCTCAAAAAAAAAAAAAAAAAAAAGTTAGGGAATAGTTGGTGGTCTGTCAGTGCATCTGAGTTTTAAGTTTTATGTGGAGGTAGAAAATTAGTTACCTTTATGAAAGTGTAAGGTGGTTATTTGCTTGCATGTACATTACATTAAGAAGAGTTAAGGTCTTGCTGGATTTCTAATTGGTTTTCCTTTTTTCTTTCCTTATAGGAAAGCAGCATCTGTTATAGCAAAGTACCCACACAAAATAAAGAGTGGAGCAGAAGCTAAGAAATTGGTAAGTTTGGTGAGCAAGCTGCTTGAAGAGTTTGCATGGCTACAAATTTAGTGAGTCCCTATAGAACTACACTCACCTGTCTAAGGTGGCCTCAACCCACACAGTCAGATTTTACTGCTCCTGATATTTTATTTTATTTTTTGGAGACAGAGTCTCACTGTTTCACCCTCAGTAGGGTGCCATGGCGTCACAGCTCACAGCAACCTCACACTCTTGGGCTTAAGTGATTCTCTTGCCTCAGCCCCCGAGTAGCTGGGACTATCGGCACTCACCACAAAGCCAGGCTATTATTTGGTTGCAACTGTCATTGTTGTTTAGCGGGTCCTGGCTGGGCTGGAACCTGCCAGCCTCAGTGTGTGTGGCTGATGCCCTACCCACTGAGCTATGGGTGCCGAGCCTGCTCCTGATTTTTAGAATAATATTAATGCTGTTTCAAGCATACTTTTTAAAGCTCAAAACGCCTGTATTTGGTTGTGGGTGGATTTCAATTTTTTTAAATATTTGTAATTAGAATTTTCTTTTTTTCCATCCTCATACGTACATGTACTCATTCTCATGTTGAATTTCCACTTGAGTGTCGGTGCTTAAGGCGAATATAGTGACCAAGTAAAGCTAGCATATCCGGTTGCCAGCTGTAGGAGCCCATGTGAGTTAGTGAGAGCAAGTGCTTTCCAAAGAGATCAGCCTTGTGATTAAGAACCTTTTATACATACATGATCATAAGCTCGTGATTAAGCCCCTTGTATATATTATCATGGCATTTGGCCTTGTTCTCTATCCAGTAGTGTCCAGGAAGTTCTGTATACTAAGTAGTATCACAGTTTCTAGAGGGACACGTCTCTCAGTAATTTGTAATGGAGGTTGAATATCCCTTATCTGACGTGCCTGGGACCAGAGTGTTTTTTTTATTTTGGGTTTTTGCAGATTTTGGAATATTTGTATTTGGTCAAGCACCCTTGATCCAAGAATCTGAAGTTCAAAATCCTTCAGTGAGCATTTCCTTTGCGTGTCGATTTCAGTGCTCAAAAAGTTTCAGATTCTGGATTTTCAGGTTAGGGATACTCAGCCTGTAATAACACTAACAGTATCCTGGGAGGTCTACCTACTGATAGTCAGATTGCCGCCTCTCATCTACATCTCACTAAATGACTCAGAGCTCCTCAAATTTAAGGACCATATTGTATTCATCTTCTGCTGAAGAGACCAGACTGCCCTGGCTTTTGATTAGTCATGATGGTGATCACACCTTCTCTTGGTCTTCCCCTATTTATGTTTCATAAAAGTCTTCTGGATTTAAGTATTCCTATTTTATAACTTTCTCATCAGAGCCTTGAGAACATGAACCCTAATTGTCCTTATATTTTCACCCCTCAAAGTCTTGCATTACCGAAACCTGGTGCATGATACAGTGGAGTGGCAAATTATCCACATTAATAATGTGCCACACCTTGACTTTGAATTTGTTACTCAATGCCAGTCGTGCTCTGGTGTGTAAGTTTTGAATTCTTTGTGGTATGAACAGTTGCCATCAGTGGTGTATCCTCCCCACGTAGACCAAGTCAGTCATAAGTACGTTAGGCTTTAATTCTGAGTCTGTCTTGGTGAGCTGACCCACCACCAGCCCGTGGAACCGCTCCCACCTCCGTTCTGTTCCCCTTTTATCAACATGAACAGTACTTCTTTTTTATGTTTACTGCAAATAGCCTGCTCATGTAGTATAAGAGAAAAGCCAAAAAGCTCCGGTACATTCCCCCCAAATCTGAGCTTATGGTGTATCTCTAAAAAGAATACAAGAATGTCCATGATGCCTTTTGCTTAAGATTAGACTCAATACAAAAATCTCATCATTATTCCTTTTCATTCTAATCTTAAGAATCACAGACCTGGCTCGGCGCCTATAGCTCAACCGGCTAAGGCGCCAGCCACGTACACCTAAGGTGGCGGGGTCGAATCCCCAGCCCGGACCCGCCAAACAACAATGACGGCTGCAACCAAAAAATGGCCGGGCGTTGTGGCGGGCGCTTGTGGTCCCAGCTACTTGGGAGGCGGAGGCAGGAGACTCGCTTGAGCCCAGGAGTTGGAGGTTGCTGTGAGCTGTAATGCCACGGCACTCTACCCAGGGGGACAGCTTGAGGCTCTGTCTCAAAGAAAAAAAAAAAAAAAAAAAAGAATCACAGACCTACTATCATCTCTCCCATTTGAGTGTTTCTCAATAATTCTAGATACCTGAAGTTTCCAGAATGAATAATTTGCCTTTTAATGTTAGGTGTAGAAAACAGCCTTTATAAGAGGGACTGTACCTAACAAATCCAATCACTATAACCTAATTCTTTGTACCCTCAGTGAATCCCAAACGATAAAAAAGAAAAGGAAAACAGCCCGTGTCTAAATTGTAGGACTATATCTGTAAAGGTAAAAATAATCACCTTTCTCTTGTGCAGGAAACGAGAAGACCGAGCAGTTCCTTCTCTAATCTATCTGACTTCCTAAATCTTCTCATTTCTGTCCCATGATTGCTATTTTCAGAACCTGAATATGCATTCAGCAGTTTGGGGACATTCATTAAATATCAGATAAATCAAGAACATAGATGAGGAACTTAGGGCTAAGAGACCACAGGAAGTAATTGCCATATGTGTCATTATGCTTCTTGATGTGTAATGAGTGTTTAACTAAAAAGGACCAATAGACGTTTAAGATGTTCAGCTTCACTAATAATCCAAGTTGCAAATTAAAAAAAATACTGTGCAGTGTCTATCAAGTTATCAGATATATGCAGTGTGAATAAAGACAGGGAGACCCACTTAGTGTGGATGGACACTTGGGCTGTGACATCCTTTCTGAAGGGTGATTTGGCAGAATGTATATGTCCTTTGACCTAGGAATTCTACTTTGGGGAATTTCCTAAAGAAACCAACAGAGATCTGTGTACATGGATCCATTAGTTCATAATTTTAATTAATTTAAAAAGTTGTCAAATGTGGCTGCTGTGCCAGGTTGGACCATTGGTGATTCTCAGAGCTCGGGGCTTAGTCCAGCTGCACTGGATCCACTGGAGAACCTGGAAAGCACATTCTTGATCCTGCTGCAGAGTAGCGGATGGGAAGCTGTGGGGTGAGACTTGGCCTTCTGTGGTCTAACAAGGCCTCCCGGTGATCCTGATGTGTGCGAAGGCTGGAGAACATCCCTTCTAAAGGGAGTTTATGACAGCATTGGTATGCTGTCAAATAATTGGAAAGTGTCGACATGTTCTCCTGTAGGGTATTTGTTAAGTAAATTATTCCACATTCACACAATGAGGTGCAGTGCAGCCATTACCAGTCCCATGGTTGTAGTTATTGATTGATAGAGAAATTTGTCCATGATGTAATAAGTAAAAAGCCTATATCAATGCACACACAATTCTGCTTATATTTATAATCAGAAAAGAAGGTGAGTAATACGTCCCAGGTGTTAGGGGACGAGGGTACCGGAGATTTTGGTTTTCAGAGTCGTGTGATAGACAAGGGGTTTTCATCTTCTTTATATGACTCTGCATTTTCTGATTATTCTCCAAGAGTTAATTTTAAATAAATGAGATTTCACAGTCATCTTACAAGGGTTTCTCTTTTGTCAATCATTTGAGCATTTTGCGTCTGGGAGAATTTATCTTTTCTGTGTCTGTTGTTTCAGACCTTGTCATTTGACACTAACTTGTTACTCACTTCCCACTTCTTCATGTCTTAGTGACTTGGTGAGCATTGTATTTATACCACTTTTATATTTTTAATTTTCCATGTAGCCTGGAGTAGGAACAAAAATTGCTGAAAAGATTGATGAGTTTTTAGCAACTGGAAAATTACGTAAACTGGAAAAGGTAAAATTTTAACTTGTTTACTTCTCTGACTGTCGTGTCGGCCTTTGTGCAGCTGTCCTGGGCGACCCTACAGGGTCACTGGTCCCACCCACTGCGGAGACGTAGAAGGAAAGAGGGGGCTGAGGTTGATGGCTTATTTTTAAAAACGTGAACATTGTTCCTATAAAATGTTCACTTATTTTATGCGGCATTTAAATGACTTAGCAGTAATGGTAGAGTTAACTCCTCATTTTCAGTACTGTTCAGAAAAGAGATTATAAAAAAATCATTCCATTTTAGAATTTCTCTGCTTAACCTTTCCCAGACATTTTTATGGTTTTATTTTACCCTAATGACAGGAATTATATCACTTCTGGTCTTTTATGAATAGACCTTTTAAAAATATGGGAAACTTAGAGATGGGACATACTCAGCTGCTCTGTGATCCCTCTGATTGCTTGGCTTACCCATGAGTAGTACTTTTGTGGGGTTAGGGCGGCAAATGTGAATGGTTCTTCACATCTCTTGGTGGACCAGTGTATTTTCAGTAAGATCATTTAGGTCCTCAAAGCATTTCTAAATTATTGTTAGACTTTGTTTTTTTCTTAAAGATTCGGCAGGATGACACGAGTTCATCCATCAACTTCCTGACTCGGGTTACGGGCATTGGGTAAGAACAATTTTTTATGCAGACACAGTAGTAGATTGATTTTCTCGTGTCAGCCAGACTAAATTACATGCTATCTCTCTTCAAAACTGTACCTTTCCGCCTGTGCACCTCAGCCTGTGCAGGTCACCCATAGCTTACGTATGTTTCTGGGGCTGGTTCTTCAGATGATTTCCAGATGCTGTACTGGTAAAAGGCCCTTCCAAGGCAGATGTTAACCTCCTTCATGAACACCCCGAATGTAAACAGGTGCAGACCTGCGTATAGCAAGGTGCTCAGACATCTTTCCCAAGTCCAAGTTCATGGTTGTCTTTCTAATGACTGAAGCTTCAATAATGTCTGCTTTGGCTAAAATTGAACATTACCAAAGTAATCATGCAACATTTCCGCTTCATAGCAACTTTTTTTGTTTGAGGAGGAGAGGACGTTGTTAAAAGGTTCCCAAGTTTCACCTGATACTGACAGTGCTTTCCTGTCCTTGCAGGCCATCTGCTGCAAGGAAGTTTGTAGACGAGGGTATTAAGACACTGGAGGGTGAGTATGACGTAGGTCACTTACTCCAGGTTAAATACGGTCCTGGAAGACCGTTAGTGTTCTAACAACCCTGAACTTAAAAAGCCTGTTTTTAATGAGTAGACACAAGTGATAAGGTTTCCTTTTTAACTGTGCAGTAAAGAGTAGTAGATACAGGATCTGATTTATATTATCATCCTAAAGAGTTTTAGGTTTACAACTTAGTAAATCAAGAAGAACAAGCAGTGAATTCTCGGTTTAAAGACGGTGAAATGATGATCATGTTTGGATTTTTAGAAATTTAAATTACTTTTGTTTCTTTAATAAAATGTTAAAACAAAGTCAGACTAACAGCTAAATTATATATAGAGAAAGATTCTGTAAGAGATTTGCAGTACTTAATTAAAGGAATTTTTGCTTTGTGGCTCACACCTACAATCCTAGCACTCTGGGAGGTCAAGATGGGTGGATTGCCTGAGCTCACAGGTTTGAGATCAGCCTGAGCCAGAGTGAAACCTCATCTCTAAACAAAAGCCAGGTGTTGTGGTGGGTGCCTATGGTCCCAGCTACTAGGGAGGCTGAGGCAAGAGAACTGCTTGAACCCAAGAGTTTGAGGTTGCTGTGAGCTGTGATGCCATGGCACTCTACCCAGGGCAACAAAGTGAGATGCTGTCTTGAAAAAAAAAAGGAATTTTTGCTATGAAAGAAGTGATAAAAATAGCCTAAGTCAAGTAATTATCAAACATTTTCCTTAAATCTAATATAACAATTCTTTAAATATAGTTTATGTCTTCATATTTCTCAAGGGCTTGGGCAACATATGTATGGATTCATTAAAGTACATGGATGCTATTTGACAGCTAGTATTTGTGGGCTCAAGTATTTGCAAGCATTTCAGATAGTTAGGTGAACAGTTTTGGAGACTGCCCTGGGTTTGACTCCCACCTCTAGCACTGTGTTAGAATGGGTCACCATAGTGCTTCAGCCATCACCTACAAAATAGGTGTGCCTTCCTCCTTTGATTAAAGGTAATAATGCCAGACCCAATGTCTCACGCCTATAATCCCAACACTCTGGGAGGCCCAAGTGGATGGATTGCTAGAGCTCAGGAGCTTGAGACCAGCCCAAGCAAGAGCAAGACCCCACCCATCTCTACTAAAAATAGAAAAGCTAACCAGCTGTTGCGGCAGGTGCCTGTAGTCCCATCTACTTAGGAGGTGGAGGCAAGAGGATCCCTTGAGCCCAAAACTTTGAGGTTGCTGTGAGCTATGAGGCCACAGCACAGAGGCCCACAAAGTGAGACAGTGTCTTGGGAAAAAAAAAAGGCAATAATGCAGGTAAAGCACTTAGCAGAGTGTTCTTTATGCAGTAAGTACTGCTTAAAAATGGTAACTGAGGCTCGGCGCCTGTGGCTCAAGTGGCTAAGGCGCCAGCCACATACACCTAACGTGGCGAGTTCGAATCCAGCCCCGGCCCGCCAAACAACAATGATGGCTGCAACCAAAAAATAGCCAGGCGTTGTGGCAGGCGCCTGTGGTCCCAGCTACTTGGGAAGCTGAAACAGGAGACTCGCTTGAGCCCAGGAGTTGGAGGTTACTGTGAGCAGTGAAGCCATGGCACTCTACCCAGGGGGACAGCTTGAGACTCTGTCTCAAAAAAAAAAAAAAAAAATGGTAACTGACTCTTACAAGGCGTGATTAATGAGTTACCAAGTTAAGAATTTGTGTGAGTCCCACAGTGATCGAGGAAGCTCAACCATGTGTCTGAGATGGGTTCCTGCCTTTCTGCTACCTGCTGTCTTTTGACACATACAGTTTACCTGAGCAGAATGATTGGAGAAGGGGGTCAAGAACCTGGGTTTCTCAGAGGCGTTTCTTGGTAGTGTCAAGGATCTGCTGTTCTGGTTTTCATATTGTTTTACAGTTCACAAATAGATAATAAAACTGTTGATATCTATAACTACATACATCTAACCAACTTAGTATTTCCATTTCATTTTCAGTCATATATGTTAGTGTTTTCTGTGAGCGCACAACTGTGGGAAATATAAGTGGTCGTGTGTCCTGAAGATGCTTGTGTTTTTCCATTGCATATCCTCAGAGGGAATTAATGTATTTGCGAATCTCAGCGTGATTCTGGGCCTTGCTCACGAGCACACTGTTCTTGCTGTCCTTTAACGAGGCTCCCTCCTGTACTCATGCCCAGCAGAGGAACAAAATGTAATATTGTGACAGGTTTTTTATTAAAAAACGAAAATACAGTAATACCTTTCCTTTCGATGGGATTTTTAGTACAATGCCTACACAAATGTGGTACTCAATACTAACTGAACCAAGAGTGATTAAACAAATGAATGATATGAGTGAACCCAATTAATCACAAAACATTCAGAAGTGGTGGTTCCTGCTGCTGCTATTAACAGTAAATTAAGCTAGATTGGTGCTTCCAAGGTTGCTTTTTGCTATAGGCAGTAAAATTTGATAAGAGCCTTTTATGTTTTATCTACTGTTTCATACAACTCTATTGAAATTTTGACTCAAAAAATAGAAAATGGTCATAAAATCAGCTGTTAGCCTTTACTACAATGATCGAAGAGTCACTTTTATCTGATTCTTAATATCCGAAGTGTTTTTCTCGGTGCGTTTTCAAAGTTACTTTAATGTATTTTTCCCTAGATAGTAACAAAGCTCATTGAGGTTAGTGTATTTTTTCCAAAAAATGTTTTAATTAACACTAAAACTTTATCTTCTATACAGATCTCAGGAAAAATGAAGATAAATTGAATCATCATCAGCGAATCGGGCTGAAGTAAGATACCAATTTTTTTTGACACTTGAGATGTAAAAGTCAAGCATTTTAGAGACATTCTTTCATGAACTGTAAAGCCAAGTGCTTTCTACTCAGAAGTGCTGCAGTTTGCTGTGGGCTCCTGTGGAGTATATGCCGTGTCCACACAAGGCCTCTGTTTTTGCTTTCTGTTTGTTCACTTATTTTGAGGATTCCCCTCCTCCACTTGACTGTAGCAGGGAACTTCCTCTTAAAATATGTACAATTGAGTGTGTCAAACAGTCAGCGGGTATTTGTTTCACACCCACATGTGCAAAGCACTGTCCTAGATCTGGGGCAAAGATTTAGATAGGTTCATTGTAGCTCTTAAGGAATTTATAGTTGACCAGAGAAGATAGGGCATGAGGAACTAAATTTAATAAAAGGAAAAACTGCCACCTGAGTAACAATAGAGGAATAACTAGTAGGCGTGTTTCTGTATCAGCCTCAATAATTGTTTTGTGAGCCATGGTTGAACTCAGGCGTTCAAGACCAGTTTGAGGAAAAGCAACACCCCATCTCCACTAAAAGGAGAAAAACTAGTTGGGCATTTTGGTGGGCGCCTGTAGTCCCAGCTGCTCGGGAGGCTGAGGCAAGAGGATCTCTTGAGCACAGGAGTTTGAGGTGCTGTGAGCTATGACAGCATAGCACTCAGGGTGACAGAGTGAGACTCGATCTCAAGACCTAATAATTATGATTTTTATTATTATTCTGTGTGCCAATTATAATCTAAGAACACTTTTTCTAATTGATTATTTATAATCATAGAACATAAGGTCTGTGTGTGTCTCCTATGACATTATATAGTCTTACTGATGATTCGGTCCTAGTTTTCCTGTTGATGCCTTATCATAATATTTAAAACTTACAGTATTATTCCAGAGTTTTGAGGCAATAGGAGACCACAATGATGTCGTCCCCACTTTTCTTGTATTACATAGTACACGGAGGCTTCCTAGGAACCTGGGTGTTGGGAGAGTTGGTTCTGAGCAGATGTGTCGTCATTGTTAGACATGTGCTGAGACATTCTTTCATATTGAGAGAACATTCTCATGACAGCCTTATTGATATATAATTTGATATTATGTGATTAAAATATTTGAAGTTATAATTCAGTGACTTTTTATGTATTTTCAGAGTTGTACCACCCATCACTACAGTCAGTTTTAAGACATTTTTGTTATTTCAAAAGGAACCTTGTACCATTAGCAGCCACTCCCTGATTCTCCCCCGTGCCACCCTCTGCCACACTGTGTTCCGCAACTCGGGGCCGCCTCTCCGCTGCTCTCTGTCCCTACAGATGTGCTTGTTCCGGACATTTCCTATAAATGAAACCATATAACATGGGGTCTTTTTTTTTTTATTAAGTGTTATATACATAGATCATGAGTACAGTTATGCCTTTGTGGGTTTCAATGTGTTGATTATTTATATAAATTGGAGTGCTTACATCCTACTAATTAACATAGCTTTCACCTTATTTACTTAATCACAGTGTTAAGACATTTGTGTTCTGTAATATGTGGTCTTTTGTGACTGGCTCCTTTCACTTAGCGTAATGTATTCAGAGTTCATCTGTGTTGCAGATAACATATATATATTTCTTTTTTTTTTTTTTTGAGACAGAGTCTCACTATGTCACCCTTGGTAGAGTGCTGTCACAGCTCACAGTAACCTCAAACTCATGGGCTCAAGCGATTCTCTTGCCTCAGCCCCCTGAGTAGCTGGGACCACAGATGCCTGCCACAACACCCAGCCATTTTTTGGTTACAGTTGTCATTGTTGTTTTAGCAGGACCAGCCTGGGCTTAAACCTGCCACCTTCGGTGTATGTGGCTGGCACCCTACTCACTGAGCTACGGGAGCCGAGCCAGATAATAATATAGTTTAGTATATGATAATTTTGCAGTATTTAAGAGTAATAAACTATGACCATTGACTTGCCTGTGGAGAGTAGCCTGCTTTGACCTCGTGTACAAACTTAAACCTGGTTTAAGTGCTTATTTACTCTCGTTATGTGAATGTGAAGCTTACTCACCACTGAGTGTAGGTGGCGTCTGTGGAATACCACAAGAGGTGACACAGGACTTCAGTCCTGTTAAGGACTGAGCCTCCCCCCACTCAAATAACTCTAGTCTTGATTTGTGAGAATGATCTGCAGGTATGAGGGTGCCTTTGAAGATAAGCAATTTAATTCTGAAGGACGTTTGAATCTTACAGCATCTTTTACTTATTCTGTCTTTACAGGTATTTTGAGGACTTTGAGAAAAGAATCCCTCGTGAAGAGATGTTACAGATGCAAGTAAGAGTTGCCGAGATGTGTTCTCTGCTTAGACTTGAGAATGTCGCCTGGTGGGAAGCCATTTTTGGAATACTGACTTAATTTTTCTTCTATTAGGATATTGTACTAAATGAAGTTAAAAAAGTGGATTCTGAATACATTGCTACGGTCTGTGGCAGTTTCAGAAGAGGTAACACACTGGAGATTTTCCGTATCAGTACATAGAGAACTCGCTCCTTTTCATAGCTGCAGAACCTGTAGATGTGTGGATGCCCCGTAATTTATCCGGCCCCCTGTTCATGGAACCTTGATTTGTTTCTCGTTTTTGCTCATTTTTGTTCCTTTTTGTTTTTTTAAATAGAGTAAAATATTTTTGGTAGTGTGTGGGTGGTGAAAGATGTCCATTTTTTGGCAGAAAGAAATGAGAAGAAAGCCAGGTGCAGTGGCTCGTGCTTGTGATCCCAGCACTCTGGGGGGTCAAGGTGGGAGGATTGCTTGAGTTTAGGAGTTCAAGACCAGCCTGAGCAAGAGCAAGAGCAAGACCCCATCTGCACTAAAAATAGAAAAAAACTAGCTGGGCATTGTGGTGGGCGCCTATAGTCCCAGCTGCTTGGGAGGCTGAGGAAAGAGGATCCCTTGAGCCTAAGAGTTTGAGGTTGCTGTGAGCTGTGATGGCACGGCACTCTACTCAGGGTGACAGAGTGAGACTTTATCTCAAAAAAAAAATTAAAAAATAAAAGAAAGGAACTGAGAAGAAAAAGAAAGACAAGAGAATTTTCTTTATTACCATAGCTCCCATGGAGGTACTGGGATGGCTGAACATTCAGTACGATTTTCTTCATATTTAAGTATCTGGTTAATGATTCCTGGTGTAGAGGATAAAGATAAAAGATAAAAGAAACCACAAGATCTTTAGTCGCCAGAAGTATGTTTGCCTCTATTGTATTTATGAGAATGGGAAGAGGAGACAGATGAACTATTTTGTGCTAGCTGAGTACCGGGCACTCTAGCCCAGGCTCTTATGTTCTTACCTAGCTGCACAGTAGCTTATGAAGCTCTTATGTTCTTACCTAGCTGCACAGTAGCTTATGAAGCTCTTGTGTTCTTACCTAGCTGC